TGCCATGAACCGGTACTAATGCCTCCAAACCCATTAGTACCGGTTGGTGGCACCAACCAGTACTAAAGGTCTAACCGGTACTAATCGCATCCTTTAGTCCCGGTTCATGGCACGAACCGGGACTAAAGGACCCAGGTGAACCGGGACTAATGCCTTGGCCGCACGAACCGGGATAAATGCTCACGTTAGTCCCGGTTCTTGACTGAACCGGGACTAATGTGAAAACTGCCCCGTGACCAAAGCCCTGTTTTCTACTAGTGACGTTTTGGTAAACAAGAACAAATCTGAAAGTCCTTGTTGATTTTGAATTGCTAATGATGTAGCAGTTGCCGTTAACAAAAGAGGTGACCCGTGATTGGCATGAGCTTGCTAGTAGTGGTTGCGGGCAAGGTAGCCAACCGTGGTGACCGGTGAATCTTCCTCAATACTACCACAACATCATTGGGAGGGCGTGCCGCTTCTTGTGTATGGTAGGTTCCCAATCTCCATGATTTTGGTTTAAGCTTCTGTTATAAAACATGTAAACGATGAACATCATTACCGCCTAGCCAGTGGTGTTACTTCCAATGGTATAAGATTGTTTTACTTAAGAAACTATTGAGAAAATTCCTGAAAAAGTTGCATATACCTACAGACAATTATGCAAGCACGATCAGAACATATTATGAACATATTACAGACAATGATGCAAGCATGAAGCAATTCAGTTGCTGGTGCCTTGTAGTGTGTATTTTCAGACATCTACTCTAGGACCCATGAATTCACATCTTCAGAATCTCCTGTGATGTGCAGCGTCGCATAAAATTGAAGAATGAGTTCTTCATTCCAATCACATATGTCTGTGCAGAAATTTAACAATCCAGCATCGTGAAAAACACTGAGGAATGGCTCGAAGCACGACAGTGATTCCATATCCACGTGAGGAATGTGTGCATGATCGAAGATTTTGTCTTTGTTGAACATCACTGAGGAATAGAAATTTGCCTGGCTGGCAGTCTAGAAACGCCTCTTCCTAATGCGAGCAGAGTCATAGGGGTTGTAGTCTGTGAAGAATACATGCTCGCCGAAGAAATCTTCAGCCTTGAATTTTTGCTTCCTTGAGAATGGATCCTTTGGCTTGGGCAGAGGAGTGTCAGTGAGTTGCATCACAACCTCAGGAATTGCAATCTCAGGTTCTTCAGGCTGAGGAATTTCTGGTTCCTCTTCTGTGGCAGTCTGCGTCTTCAGATGATCAGCAGCAGCAGTTTCTTCAGCACTAGTGGCTGGAATTTCTTCACGTACAAACGAGTTGGGGTGAGTTTCTTCAGAGCCCATTT